ATTGAAATCGTGATCATCATAGAAATCACGTTATTATTTACTCAATCATTGACAAACATTGCATATAATGTTCATGTTGAATAGATATTATTTCCAAAAATTGGGAGAGAGAAAGAGAGACTGAATAAATCTTATATTAAAGGAGTTAAACCAAATTGTCAGAGTCAAGCGCATTTAATATCAAGTAAGTTTTATCACTTGCACAGTTGACAAAATTTAGTTTTGCCCTCATATCAGGCAGATATACTGTCACCTAAGTGTATAAGTCCTGCTTAATGCCGTAAATTTAGGTGTCATGAGATCGGGACGAACTAATGCGCGTCGTAATGCTCATAAAAATCAACCAAGTTTAATGCGCGATGCGACTCGAGTTTTATCAGTGCAAACTATGAGATTCTGACATTACACGCGGGAATATAAGAGGTATTTTACGTCGATGTAAAGTACAACTCGCTATCGCAGCAAAAAGAGGAAGGATAAGAAAGAGAGAAAATATATCGATCGATGAAGCCTCACGGTTATTTAGATAACCGTGCATCCGCGTGAAATGCAAAACTAGGATAAGCGGAAGAGAGAGAGAGAGAGAAAGAGAGAGAGAGAAGTGTCACAGCATAGACTGAACAGAGGATCAAGATTATCGATTCTTGAAGTGAAGAAGATAGAGACTCGAACGCGTCGCGGGAAAAATATGCATTAATGTGCATTAAAATATATTGCACACTGTGTCTATTTCTATTCTGTACATTTACCACTATATTTCGCGGCAGTAAGCACAGCGCAAACTTTTATCTTAGCGCCGGTGATGTATTATTCTGACGTCTCGCGTAGGTCTAAGGTGGCCCGTAGTTTTAGACAGTATCTTTCTTTACCCGTATCATCTCTCTTATGAATGTTTCTTCTCCTTGAAAGCATCTTTATTTGACTCTCTGTTCAGAACTGTCTTGATGATATTATCTGATATAACTTCTCGAACAAGTTGGGAAAAACTATGTTCAAAGATACAAACGCAGAGATTAATGTTGGACAATATAAATATGAATTATTCAGCGAAAATAATGAAGAAAATGTAATAAAATGTGTGTAATCAGTTACATATATGTAATTACAAACTTATAAATATATATGTACGTAACAATCGGGCAATCGGAAAAACGGATACAGCAGAGGAAGAATGAAAAAGAAGAGCGGACGAAAATTCGCGCGAAAGCTGAAGAACAACTTTCCTACGGTACACAGGTTACACACCGCGCTACAAAACAGATACACATTTATTCGTGGAAACTCTCGTCGTATCGGGCGGGATAGGGGCGAAACGACAACGAACATTCCTCGCCAGCAAAAGGTAAGAAGAAGATAAGATAGAACGGAAGTTCTTCTCCTCGATCTTCTCTCTTACAATGTGTGTTCCCGCACACCCTAAATACATAAACATCCAATACAACCGTGAACTTTCATTCCCATAGTCAGGACACTGACACGTGAGATATGCCTTCAAAAGTATACACGACCGTCAAGACGTGCAGAGTTGCTCAAGGTATCGTAAAACTAAGTGTGTTGAAAAGAGAACATTTGCAAACGCAAGTTTCTCGTGCAAATATTAAATAGGTATTACACAAGAAATTACACGAAATATATCGAAATATTTAGGATTAATTAAGAGATGTAGAAAAAGATAAATTCTGACAGATACTAAAATAAAATAATAAAAGAAATAGAATATTATATTATAATATTCTGTTTATTTCATTATTTCAGTGTTTTATATTTTTTAATATTATATTAAAAAATTTTTAATATTTTTTACTTTTTTATAATTATACATATATATATTGTACATGTATACAAGACGTGCGAAATATACTTCAGAAATAAATTCGAAACTTGGAAATAAAGAGTTTTGCATAAAGATGCGCCTAACTTTGCGTTTGTTCGAATTAGTCTATTTCTGTGTCCTATAATATTCTGTTCTTTATTATATCTTTACACATATTAATTAAATAATAAATTATTCGAAATGAGGAGGGGCCAGCTTAATATGAGACAACAGACCAGATACAATAGATCAGAGACTATAAAACATAAACCAGAGATAGCATAGACCATAGATCAGAGACGAAAATAGGAATTTAATTAACGAAAAATGCTTTGACTGGAGAATTACAAAGTTGACAGCAAGCAGAAAAGAGAATAATTTTATTTTCCAGACTTCGTGTAATATGATAAAAACAGCTCGCGGCTTCAAAGAAATTAATAAAAAGAACACCTGTGAAAAAAAGGTATCTAATATTTAAAAATTATATAAATATCTTCATATTTAAACAAGCCCAATTTACTTAACAGTAATATTGGGACATCTTTCTTTTTTTTTCTTTGTTCATTCATTTGCAATTCGCTTATTGCGAACTAAAATCCAATTTTGCCTTCCATCCGATGAAATTATGAGCGCGCTACCTTTCAGCAAAGCTAAAAAGAAGCGATACTTGCGATTTAATTAAATCGTGAAATATGACGACCGAGCAGTGGCAATTAAATACGCTTTTAGCGGACCTAGCGATACCAATTTACCTTCCATGTCGTACATCGTGAGCACTTATCTCGTACTGCGAGATGCATCTTATCCCAATGACCGCACATGTCGCTTCCGGAATTGCAGTTTGCACACCTTGTGAAGATACTTAGAGATTTAATTAACTAGCGTACTTCGATCACGAGCGATCGCGTACCATACATCAAACCAAATCTATACTCGGATTATGCGCACTTGAATGCGTCAAAAATGATACGTAGAAACAATGATCTATGCGCCGGTTAGAATAGAATTTTAAAAAAGATAAAAACGTTTGTGTCGAGCGTATCAACCGTTCATGTATAAAAAATGAAACAATTATATAATATTTTAAAATCGACTTTAGAACTCGCAATTTCATTGTGAAGTATTACTTCGAATGCTCAGAACACGCGTGTAATTTTACCTTCACTCAATCGTTGATTCTTTTTTTAATTCGATGCGTATAAAAAATGCGCAAAAAATTACAAGTCGTAAATGCGATGGCTATATTTCATGATATGTTATATCATTGTTCGTTTTTTTCATTCTTTCTATCTTATCATTCGTCTCGACAAGATAAATGAAAAGCTAGCACATAATTCTCTTTTATACTTGAAACTTGCACAAAGTTGCGCGTTTTCTTGAGCATCGAGAACGCGCTGCAAGTGTGTTTGATAAATTTTTAATGGCCAGTTTGCGCATAACTAATAGGCAACAACACACGATGTTGACAGCAAAAGCGCGGACAGCGTACTGTAAATTCAGATCTCAAGTTCAGAATACCATTATTAATCTCTCCGGCCGGAATTATACGCGCTCTTACTCACATATGCTCGCCGCTAACAACATTCGTCGTTATAATAATAAAATTAACTCGACTGTAGCTAATGCCGAGTTGGATGAACAAAAAGGGGGAAAGATTTTACTGAAAATTTTTTTCATATTGCCTCGTACACAATTTTCGCACGGTATGATGTAGAATAAAATTACATGTGAACCACATGTATAATTAATGGATGAATGTTTTGAAAGCTGACGGTTTTGATTTTTTATCATTACATATTAACAGATAAATACAAAATCAAAATTATCATTTTTGAGTAAAAAATAAAAAGATTAAATATTTTTATAATTAATAAGACTAATATAAAAAAAATTATAACACATATATTTATATATAAAAAGATTGCTTGACAGAATAAATATATCTCGAAGATTTTCACGCCGCGCGTACTATACGAGGGAATGAAAGGGAAGAAAAAAAGTAAAAGAGAGTGATCGTTAGAACGGTGATAAAGAAAAAACGAAAGGGCTCAAAGCAGATATCAGTCAAGACGAGGATGTACACAAAGATCAAAGGAGGGTGAGCTAATATGCACACGCGTAATATCTGGCGTGTTCATTACAAGAGGGACGATTATTTTATCTATTCATCTTGATAAAGTATAAAAAATAACAGAGAGCGAGAGAAGTGGTGACAAGACACAAGCTCTTTCAGAGACTCAAACAGATCCAGTTAACTCTTTGACCACAAAGAATATTAGACTGTTTTCTATCACTTCTCTCTCTCTCTCTCTCTCTCTCTCTCTCTCTCTCTCTCTTGTAATCTTTGATAACACACGCATATTTAGCATGGAAAAAATAAAGATCTCTGTAATTAATGTATATATCCCAAAGGATTGGAAAAAGCATACAAAGGAAGATGAACCTTTAAAATGGTGAAAATAATATAAGCTTTATAATTGTAATTATAATTTTATATTATATATAATATATAATATAATTATATTATATAAAACAATTTTCAAATGTTGTGAAAATGATGTGATAATAAATATTGCAAAACTTTTGATTCTGAATAAAAAAAACTAATCGCACGTAAATACGGCGAAATTAAAATACGCGATATTAATTAATTATATTTAATAATATTAATTATTATTACTTTCCAAAGAAGGATTCTGATAATAGAATTGTAATCGATAAATATATCATCGTGTTGTGTCATCGTACATTGATCAGAAACTTGGCAAGCAGTTGGCTGATTTATGAGTGACTTGTATCCCTGACTAATCATATGCGAATTCCTGTAGATTTTTTCGTCTTTTTTGCATTTTCTTATCCAATAAAATTAATCGTCACAAATATATGAAAATATGAAATTTTTTGTTAAAGTAAAATGTCGGATTAAAGTTTAATTCATCCTCTTGAAAGTAAATTGGCACCTCTTTTACAGTCATTAGTGATCGAATAGCAATCGTTATGAACAGCTGAATTTTAAGAGTATCGCAATAAATCAGAGACCAGAGAAATCAAAGATCAGAGATCAGAGACCATATATATAAAGCACAGAGACGAGAGATGAAAGACGAGAGATCACAGATCACATTAATCATTATCCGACGCGTGCTGCGTATGTTCGTTACGAGACAAAATAATTCTATCTACTTACTTCCACGAGTGTGATGAGAATGATGAAAAGAGGCGGCGGACAGCATGTGTAGTGATCGGCGTAATACTTTCGGTCCCGCTCCTCTGTGAGGAATTCATCGCCGATCATGCGGACCATCCTGAAAACACAAACATATTGCAATAATTGAAAAATGTGAAATTTATAATCTGCGTATTAAACGAATTGTCGCACGAAATGCGTGATGACTTAATAAATAAATAAAATAAATAACATGTATAAATAAATTTATATCTTTATTCTCGACGTGGAAAAAAATTTGTGATGGAATATTGAATATCTTTTAATTTTTTAATTATATTTATAATTTTGATAAATCTTTCATTTACTTGAAAAGATGTAATCCGCATATAGGAGAATGGTAATTATTTTTGGCTGTATAGATAGTTCGAATTTATATGAGAACATTTATTAAATGCAATACATAATTTTCCATTAACAATCACGGTATAAAGTATAAGAATATATTCCCCGATGTATAAACATCATTATATATTAACGAATAATTGATATTTGTCGGATAACAAACAAGTTCGATGAGATCGAATATGTTTTTCAAAATGAAATTCATAATAGTATTTTATTTACGCTATTCCTGGTGGTGGTACGCCAATAAACGCGATCGGATATTTCCAATTAAACTTTGCCATAGTACTTCACTTCAAAATAGAGGTGCTCGACACGAAAAATAGCCTGCAACGCATGCAATCGAACCTTTTGAGCCAAACTTCGCAAAATGACTTCGTTTACGTGTGCGTCAAGCATTAAAAAATACAAAAAAATCCATAAATTGGATGCAAACGTAGTCATTCTCGCAAAGTAATCTACGCATTTACCTAAAGCGCATGTTCGTTCTTTACCCAAATAATTTTTGCAAAATGGATTTTTAATTGAACAAGAGCCGCAACGTATTTTATTACATCGTATAAAATACAAGTATAAAATACGAAGAAAAACCTAGTTCTCTATTGTTTTCTATTGTTTGTCATTAATAATAGGATGACTTACGAGAAATACGGATAAATTCAAAACAGTGATATAGGATACGTATAATTATTTTTCCTTATAGATATACGTATTATAGATATACGTATAATACAATGCTTTCATTAATTCGAATTTTATTCCATCGATTGGGAATAACTCAATACAATGGCGCAAAACAAATAATAAAGTCACGTTAACAGACAACGCTAATTTTGAAAAGTATCTTTTCCTTGATAACAACACCTGGCTCGTAACGTTATTGTTGTTACGATTCTGCAACGCATCTACCAACGAACGAATACTCGCAGTTAGGCGTGCACGTAATCGGTAAACGCTCAGCCACAGTAACGAGCTACATTCAAGTAATTAAAAAACAAAAAAATTAGGCCGACTTTTAAAACACTCGTTGGATGCGGCATTCGCAGTGAACTGAAATTGGTAACATAATTGAGTTTAATTAATGAGAATATAATTGGATGAAGTTTTGAATTTACGAAGCTATTTCTAGAACAGACACGCAAAAGTATAAACGCAAAAAACTTAATGAGTACAGAAACAGACAAATGCCATGAAGAAAAAAGCATGTAATTGTATTTCTTGAGATATGCAAAAGAAAAATTTGCTAACTAAAAGTAATGTGGATAACGATGAGTATACAAGGAAAAATTATATATCAATTTCAGATTATTTAAGGATTCATTTTTTTAGAATCAATATTTTTTTAAATCATGTATCACGTGAAAATTATTCCTAAACATGTATTTTTCTCATTTTTTTCTTTCTCTCTCTTCATTCAAGTATTATAATAATAATCACATTCGAGAATTTTATTTAAGTGACTGAGTAAAAAAATTTTGCGTAGAAGCTTGTAAGACTTACAATTAGAAAATTAATTCATAGATTTTCCGAACAATATTCTTGAATTAATCGTCAATCTTTGTAAGAATTTTAATGCTAGAATACGTTTCGTTAATCGTCGCCAGGGGTAGCAAAATAATGAGGAATTAACTTCGGCGAATCTTTCTGCCAGGTCGATTCCTAAAGAAAAGAAAAACACTCACGAACAATTACGCGCAAATTCACTATCCATAGCCTTCATCATTATCTCGAAGTATTTTTTTCTTCTCATTTACGACTTTCGTTAAGAATGAACATGACGGACGAAAACATTGTCAGAAAAGTCTTATCAAGAACAGCAAACAGCGATGAAAGATTCTCTACTGACATACAAACTTACATGTCATTCCCTCTTAGCGCGTTTTAATTCTCAATACTCTTCATATAGTTTATTCAATAGCATTATCAGTCTCTTTGAATTTGATTTTTAGTAGTCTACTCTTATATCTATATGAAACTGTATTTGTTAAAGATATGCTAGAGATGTTTCGGTGATAACTATAAGTGTCCTTTCAAACAAATAAACAGATATGTACAGTACCGACCGAAATTATATCACCTTTTGACTTTTTCAGCATAACTTGTTTTAATAAAGTGCACGGATCTCTACACGAATCATAACATGTTTTGAAAGACGGTGTAACAAACATATTGAATTATATATAATTCAATATTATACCATCCTTCAAAACATGTTATGATTAACATATGATATACACGTTCTCTCTTGCACGATCTCTCTTGTCGAATTTCTCTCCACTTCACCAATGAAATAACTCTCGAATGCCTATTTCATTCCTTAGCGTGTTCCTCTTTCTATCGACTCTTTCATCCTTATTCTATCGGCTACTTTACTTATTTACTAGTCTCGTGAAGAGACGACCGCGCGATCTATTCGAGATAAAATGTCGAGCCAATAAATAACGATGCTCTTTATAGAGAAGCACGAGAAAGACGGCGGCTTTTTGCAAAATAACTTTGCGTACGTTTGAATAAAAAAGAAATTAAATGTAAACGCAATTTCACATTTTAATAAAATAAATTTTACTTGAATTTTGCTCATTTCGAGCTGCAGAAAAAGATAGTGGTTTTGAAAAAGGTAACTGAAATTAAATCCAGCTACCTTATTATAGTTTCATTAAAAAAAAATGGCAATATAACGAGAGAGGAAACTTCAAATAACCATACTGATTATTATCACTGCAAGTTGCGTTAAAAAAATATATAAAATCATAATCTGCTTCATGAAAGTACTTTATACGCTGCTCATTTTTCTTGCTTTTCCTCGTTTCAATCGCGACGACAACAACGACAATGATGGACGATAAAACAATGCATGAGATGAGACCATCGGTTAAACGTATAAACGGCGTCGATAAATCGACCGCGCGGATCGCGGGTCGTGAAAAAAGTCCAATATCACGTACGAGGGCGGGTAATAAAAAAACGGGATCTAAATTCGGACGTCGCGGAGGAAGGGTGGAAAATCACGCGGGAAGATATAGCCGCCCTTATATAGCCGGCTCCTTTCCGCGATACTATCTCTCCTCTCCCTCTTGCGTAAGAGCGTAGAATAATTACGAAGAAATATTAGCCCGTAACTCAGTCCACTATCCATAATATCTGCAACGTTTATGGCGCCAGGAAGATAAACCATCCCCCATTCCGCTCTATCTGGTGGCGCGTGCGCGACCGCGTATCGCTTCGGTTCGCTTCCAGGTTTCGTTTCGATTCTTCCTCCCTGGCGAAAGGTGTGAGCGTGAATATCTGTTCACACACCGAGTATCAACAACCATGTGTACTTACGTGACGAGCGGCGTGCACGAACATCGTGATCGAATAGATCGGCAATTAGTCGAGGCACGAGTGTTCATGACATCTTGTACGTTAAAGTAAATGGTTTGCAGAGGTAAATTTTGCTATATAAACGGAAAAGTATAAGTAACTAAATCAAAGTTTTGCAAGTTTCAATTTGTCTATCAGCGGAGAAAAAAATTATCGATTTCAACGAATTGTATAGAAACTTAGGTAATACGATTAAATTAATTTATATTTTATACAATTTTATATATGTATATGTATGTGTATAAAGTTTATAACAATGAGCAATGAGCGATTTTTTCTTTGTTATTAATTGATATGATAAGTATAAATTTATTGAATTTACTTGCAATAAAAATAAAAATTATATTCGTTCAAAAAGATCCGTCCGTAAATTCATAATGTAATTTGAATAAAAAAAAGCTTCTTCTTATTTACGTCGTCTTCATTTTACAAATTTGCGCTTGCTCATTTCATTGCGACATTGATAAAATTTTACTTTATTGTGCACGACATTTATAAAATGTTACGATATAAAATATCAGCAATATGAAAAAATAAACGTAAAATACATTGGATAAATTTATGTTGCTATATTATTTAAGCTTTATTAAATATTCATTAAACAGTTCCAACTAATGGAAATCTGTGTTTGTAATGAATATGTTATTTTCATGTCATGACGATGTAATCGCGACAATATTCGCGCCAATTAAAAAGCATCAGCGCGGAAACCTATTTTGCACGATCCGCGCATATCAGGTATATAATATCGGCGAAGGGAGTGAAAAAAAAAATATATATATATAATAGATATATAATATAATATATATTGTGTGTATAATATTAGATATCTTTGTATCTCATCGGTGCAGGCACATTAATCCCTTTAATTACCCTATCTCGTGTTAATGGAATCTGTTATCGTACTGTAAACATATAATTTATCACTAAAAATTGCGTTTCGGGAACACGTACGACAAATCTTTTATAATAATTCTTTTCAATATAACCATGTTTGCAACAATCATAAAATTTACATTTAATATGCATTAATTTGTCATGCAAGCTATGCACATTTTTTAGACTAAAAATTTTTTTTTTCAAAACACGATAAAAACACGCGCGAAATAAATATTTTTACAAAAACTTGAAATACCTATAAAATAATAAATAAATATATTATTCTATAATCATATCTACATACATACATTTTTTTACACGCGTAACAGTTAGCGAAGAAATGTACACTTTACGGCGATAAAGCAACAAATAACATCTTCCGTCAACACAAAGGAAAAAAACCCGAGAAAAAGAGAAAGAGACCGGAAACTTTCCTCCCAATGTAAAGGTCTACTAACACAGCTGGCCGTTCGCGGTAATCGCACACTTAAT